TGCGAACCAGCTGAATGCAGTTCGACAGAGTAGCATCAAACCGGACGACCGAAGCTGCTCGACTGCGAAGGTTGCAGATGTGCGCGAATTTCACCTTAGGAGGGTTTCTCCAAGTCAACCTGCTCGACGGTGCACTGGCGAAACCGTCGGCACATGTTCTATCTGGCACCTGCGCAATGTGTCTGGCGATGCGACCGTCTATCTGCACCTACTTGGTAGGTGCGCACATACTCATATGTTTATATGCCTCTGCGGCGTTGGCAGACCGCTGCGGTGAAACGCTGGCAGAACTACTCTGCTGCAATGTTGGCAAGCCGCTCATCTGATGCGCTGGCAGAGTTCGCCCTGCAGAAGGCTTGCTAGGTGTTGCAATACCATTCTAGCTATATCGACTTACATGCCTCATTGTACTCAATGTGCTTGTCAATTTCCTAGAGAAACTCTTGCCAAATTCCTCTATGGACACATCAAGTAGAGAGAACACTAGTAAATCGCTACGATCACTTGCACAACCCCGTGCCTTCCTTCGTAGTCCACTCCCGTTTTGTAGTGACTTTCTGCACCACCAACAGAAAGTGCTCTACCTACCTCCATTAACACTATGCGGTGATACCGAGCCTATTCTCCAAACCACCAATAAGGCCTTTTGTCACCACGCATTTGCACCCAGCCTGTAGTGAGGGAGGGGGCAAAGCGAGAGCGTCAGGATATAAAAGAGAGGAAATATATGGGCAGTCTATGCAGCAGTGCGACCGTGTAGTTTGAAAAAATAAAGGTATATTGCTGGGTGCACTGGATGTTCTCATCCTACAGCTTGCAATACACACAAGTGCTTATAGAATGGCTCAATCGCTAGAATGCACGAGAATCGCTAAAACCTACCTCAGCAAAGTCAGTAGCAGTGCAATGCGCTCCCTCATAGGCGAATGGTGGTGGTGATGGTGGTGAGAGACAAAGAAATCTCCAATTACACTACATACATGGAACCATCGTCGTGTGAGAGGGGAAGGGAAAGCGATTTAAGAGGAGAAGGGAAACATATATGGGAAAGTTTAGCGCATTAGATTGGACTGCAATATGCACCGTTTGGTCCAGCTAACATAAGAAGCACTGTGCCTCGCCTCATCGCCGCTTAGCACATCAATGCCTCCCACGAACAAAAAATCAACCTCTCTTCTCACAACGACACGAGCACCTTGCGCCGCCCATGCCTCTAATGCTAGTGCCACTATCACATGCTCTCCCCCACTATTCGCCCCTTCCCTGTTCACTCCTTCCAACTTTGGCCCCAGTGGTGTTGGTGGTAGTGCTTTTTGCGATAATGAGGAAGAGGGGGTGGGTGAGAGAGGAGAAGATATGAATGGGAGAGGCAGCAGTGAAGGAGTAGACCTGAGAGTTTGACGTAGTGTCAAAGCGAGGCACGGGCATGCTGCAGGAGGGAAGATGGGGACATCGGGGGAAGGAGGGTCAGAGAGTGAGGGATGAGGAATTGAAAGTAAGAGAGAGCATGCGGCATGCTGGGAGAGGGGGTGTGAGGAAGGAGGACACATGTTATGCGAACAAGTGGATGCAATTTTGGTGGAGTGAAGGGGTAAAGGAAGAGAGGATTACAAGAGCGAAACGAAGTAGGGATAAGGACGTGGCAGGATAAGGGCACATCTGGAGACCCCATAAGGGTGGACGATATGCCTCATTCCCCAATCTTAAAGTAAGATGGGTGGTGGAGATGGACCACAAGTAGGAAGGAGCGAGAAGCTTTAAGGGGATAAGATCTACTGTAAAGCGAGCGGGGGTGATGAGAGAGGCAGCCTTGAAGACAGTTGCTCTGCACTGGGTGCACTCTTGTTCCTAGCTCCATTCGTTTCCATACTACCCAATACTCTCACACATACACTCATAATGTTTAGGTACATTTTTAGGGTGGCGTCGGAGTCTAGTGTGAAGGAGATGAACGCATCATCAGTGCTTGCACGTGGGCAAGAAGAAAACAGAGGATCCCACTTACAAGACAGCTAGAGAACAAGGTATAGGCAAATACAAATAATAAGATATAGCAACACTATAGTCATTAGCATACATGACAAACAAATTAGATCCTATATTTGCCATGCGAATCTCAAACACAGGCAAACCACGGCGCAACAGGTTGGGGGGGATGCCGAAGGCCCAAACTAGCTGAAGAAGAGGTTGCCGAGCGAGTGAAAGCAGTGCGGAGTGGAGCAATCGAGGCGCCGTCTGGCGGTGTTGCGTTGTGGACCATGCTGAAGCTGGTACTAGCAGGGCCTAGTGGAGGGGGGCACGCGACACCCTGCTGTCAGACACGCCACCATGGCCAAAGCACCCTAAGCCAGTAGGTCCCCACTGCTGCCGAAAGACCCACTACTGGAGCTGCTACTGTTGCGCAGGCACCACCACACCCCAAGTACCAGCACCTCCTATGGCAGCACCCCAAGGACCTGCACTCCCAGCGTCATCACCCCTCGACCTACCAGCACCTCCACCTCCTCCACGACTATGATCACCCCTGCGCCATACGTTCCGAACAGAGAGGGCAGCGACGGATGCAACCTTTGCTATAGCAATAATGTGAGAGTATGTCGCCAGTTCCGTCCTATTTTTTTTCGTTTTCTACACTAATTTCCTTTTCGTTTACGTTACCATCCATTATTTTGGTTATACGCATCGAATAGGTTTTGTGCATACGATTTCTAGAATTATCTCGCACTATCTTGAGTGACCTTGCGTGTGCGTGACTTTGCACCGAGTGACTTGACCGATTTGGAAATGCTTTATTCCCGCAGGTTCTATAGCGTCGGTACATTCTAGTAGCATCGTGGTTTTCTCCTGGATATAGGACCCACCCTAAGTAGGTCCCGCGACCCCGGGACTCTTATGCGGCAGAGGGACTCTTATTTGGCAAGTTGCGTGAGGAACCCCCGTTTGCCCCTAATCATTTAAACACCCCCCTTTTCTTTACAATAGCTCTATATGCAATTGCACGTCAGCTTCTAGAGGCGCAAATTCATTTTTTGACACGTTATTTTTGTCAACCTTTAATTCTTGCACGCCTATCGCGTCAGTTCTTCGACCTGCCGTGCTGTTCGTGCGAATTTTGCACACGAGGGGTATTTTTTTGTTACAGATAAAAGACCTCCCAACACCATATTCAACCATACACTCTAAACAACAGATTGATAGTTGCAAAGTAAGTGTACCTGGGACCTCAAAATCTCATGCGCATTAACGTTAACGTTTATCTCATGGCTATAAATTTATAAAGTCCCCTGGGTCCTATACCCGGGGGAATATGGTACCTGTATCATGCATATATATAGTTTGGTAGTTGTACCTAAGTTCATTGTTGGATAACGAAGTGAAGTTTCCATCCTCGCACGAGTAGGCTTGGCAATTGCAATAAAGGCAGCTGAGGTACGGAGCTGGGGCAGAGTGCACCCCTCAAAGATGGGGGTGACGACTGTACCAATGGTGGAGGCGATGGTGTGGGGGCGGGTCTTGAAGTTAGTGAGATTAGTCTCGAAGAGGTCACTAGGGTGCATGGCGACGAGGGCATCATAAGCAGGCGCGAGACAGTCATGGAGGCGGGTTGCGAGGAGGTGCAGGATGAGATACATGGAGAGGGCAGGAAGGGGGGGCTGCCTAGAAAACTGGGCGGAAATGAGAGCAGTATCAGGTGAGCGCAGGAGGGTAATGAGGACAGGGACAAAGGAAAACGCAGAGAGATTGTGGAAGAGGAAATTCATAACAAGTCGCCCTAGAGTAGTGTAGGAGGGGGTCGCGAATATGCACCCGCCGGAGGGCACGTAGCTCGCTTGAAGCGTGGGCGTACAGGGGGACGTCATGTCAGAACGTTATATAGCTTATGCTGTTGTGTAGGCTATAGTGGGGTATCCCATAGGGGGTACAACCCAATTAGGGTTTCCTATATGTACTCACTTCATTCATAGTTCATTCATTCTCGTTCTATTCTTCTCATGGTATCGAGCAGGTTCCCCTGTGGGAACTGCGCCTAGGGCCCACCACTCGATTTTTTTTTTCCTGCCCGAAGCGCACTCATCCCGAGTCGCGCCTCGGGCCATTCTCTTACCGAGCCGCCCTAGCGGCCGACCCTACGATCGCGGCCCCGCCGCCCCTTGATCGCGGCCCCGTCGCCCTTACCTCGCGGCCCCGCCGCCCTTACATCGCGGCCCCGCCGCCCCTGCTCTCGCGGCCCCGCCGCCCTTTGATCGCGGCCCCGCCGCCCCTGCTCTCGCGGCCCCGCCGCCCTTACCTCGCGGCCCCGTCGCCCTGCTGTCGCGGCCCCGCCGCCCTTACGTCGCGGCCCCGCCGCCCTTACATCGCGGCCCCGCCGCCCTTTGATCGCGGCCCGGTCGCCCTGCGGACGCGGCCCCGCCGCCCTTACATCGCGGCCCCGTCGCTCTGCTCTTGCGGCCCCGCCGCCCTCCTATCGCGGCCTCGCCGCCCTGAGCTGTGCGGCCTCGCCGCCCTCTCCTACGCGGCCCCGCCGCCCTCACCAACGCGGCCCCGCCGCCTTCACCTGAGCGGCCCCGCCGCCTTCACCTACGCGGCCCCGCCACCTTCACCTACGCGGCCTCGCCGCCCTCACCTACGCGGCCCCGCCGCCCACGCAGCCGACCGCCACGCCGCCCGGTACCGGAGCAGCCGAGTCGCCCAGCAGCAGCCGCCGCACCGGACCACCGAGCCGTAGTGCAGCCGAGCCGCCCCGTCCCCGAGCTGCCCTGCACCCGAGCCGCCCGGCAGCCGAGCCGCCCCGCCCCCGAGCCGCCCTGCACCCGAGCCGCCCGGCACCCGAGCCGCCCTGCCGCCGAGCCGCCCGGGAGCCGAGCCGCCCAGCAGCCGAGCCGCCGAGTCGCCAAGCCGCCCTCCTGCCGAGCCGCCCGACCTGCCCTGCCCGGTGAGCACCGTACCGCTGTCACTGCGTGCCCTTCCCCTACTGCTTGCACTGCTCCACTGTCGTCGTCATGGCTACCCCTAGTGTCCTCGCTTTTGACGCTGAGGGTCGAGCCATTGACTTTGAGGTCTGGGTCGACGACCTGCAGCTGTTCTTACAGTGCGATAGGGCGGACGGCCTTTCCCTCTTTGACCTCACCTCTGGCGCCTCTCCTGCCCCTGCTGCTGATGCTGACCCCACTGTTCGCTCTCAGTGGGCCACCCGCGATGCTGCTGCACGTCTTGCTGTGCGTCGCCACTTGCCCACCACTGAGCGCGCGCACTTTAGTCAGTACAAGAGTGCTCAGACCTTGTACGACGCTGTAGTTGCGCGCTACTCTTCCCCTGCCACTGCTGCACTGAGCCGTCTCATGCTACCGTACCTCTTTCCTGATCTCACTGCCTTTCCCACTGTCGCTGACCTCATTACGCACCTCCGCACTAGTGACACTCGCTACCGCGCCGCCCTTCCTGCTGATTTCTGCGCCAAGAACCCCCCCCCCCCATGTACATCACTCTCTACTACATAGTCACACGCCTCCCTGACTCCCTTCGCATAGTCAGGGACAACTTCCTCTCAGTCTGTCCCACCACTCTCACTGTCGACCTCCTCCAGAAGGCCCTCCTAGCGGCGGAGAAGAGCATCGTTGCTGTCGGAGCCTCTCGTGGTGACCCTCGCACCCCCATCTTTGAGGGGTGTTCTCCTTCCCCCCTACTGCCCTCTGTTGCCTCTACTGTTGCTGCCAACCTGCTTGGTCTTGAGTCGGTCGGCGCGGCGTCTGCCCCTAGCGGGAAACGCCGCCCTGGCAAGGGCAAGGGGGGCAAGGGCGCGGGTGGAGCTGGAGGGGGCGGTGGAGGTGGCGGCGGAGGCGGCGGAGGGAGTGGGGGTGGCGGTGGGAGTAGTGGCGGAGGCGGTGGTGGTGGTGGCAGCGGCGGAGGAGGCGGCGGTGGCGGCGGCAGCGGTGGGAGTGGAGGCGGCGGTGGTGGCGGAGGTGGAGGCGGCGGTGGCGGAGGGGGTGGAGCTGGTCGGGGTGGTGCCCCGCAACGGAGCGGCTCTGGTAGTGGTCAGCGCCAGGAGCAGCAGTAGCAGCAGGAGCATTCGCGGGACATCCCCCCGCCCCAGCAGCTCCGTGAGCGGTACACGCAGCGTCAGAGGGGTGGGGGTACTGGTCCGTGCGCCTACGTCCTTCGTTCCGGCGACCGCGCGGGTGAGCAGTGTGGGGGTGCCCACCCCACCCAGCGCTGCTTTGGCCGCCTGACGGACGCTTGGCGTCAGCAGTTCCCCGAGGCTAGTGAGATTCCCCGCTGGGGAGAGCTGTCTAGGGCTGGTGTAGCTATCTTTGATCTTGACTTTGATGCTATCCTTGCTGCCATGTATGCTGTGACTATTAGTGAGGAGGGTGACTGTTACCGGTGTTTCCCACCCGGCCCGAGCATTGGTACTGCTGCGCTAGGTGCTTGTGAGGCTGCTGCTCTAGGTGCCAGTGCGTCTGCGCTCTCAGGTTTTGGTGAGGCTGCGCTCCCAGGTACTGTGTCGGCTTCGGCCTCCCTCACTTTCACACTTGACTCAGGGGCTTCTCGCTCCTTCTTTCGAGACCGCACCACACTCACGCCTCTTGGTCGGCCGGTTGCGGTCTCCCTGGCTGACCCCTCTGGGGGTCATGTCCTCTCTCACTTCTCCACTGTCCTCCCGTGTCCGGCTGCCCCCTCGGGCACCCTGTCTGGTCTGTACCTCCCCTCGTTCTCGACGAACTTGGTGAGTGGTGCTGACCTGCAGGATGCGGGGGTTCACCAGTTTACCCCTGCGAGTCAGCGGGTGACCCACTGCACGGACGCACGCACAGGCCGGCACCTGGCCACGTTCTCGCGTCGGCCAGGGTCGAGCCTCTACACCCTGACCACTGAGTCTCCTCCTGTCCCTGCGTCTGGCCAGGTAGCTGCGTCGGGTCAGATGTTTGCTGCTGCGTCCCGGTCTGGTCCTGAGTCTGCCCCCTGTTCGTGTCGCCTCCTGTCTCACGAGACTCTCCTGTGGCACCACCGTCTTGGCCACCCCTCCTTGCCTCGTCTTCGGGGCATGGCTTCCCGTGTTCTTGTCTCTGGTCTCCCCCGGTCTCTCCCTCCCCTTCCTTCGGGACCAGGACCTTCCTGTGTCCCCTGTGTCGAGGGGCGCCTAAGGGCTGCTCCTCACTCCTCCCAGTTTCCCCCGACAGAGGCTCCTCTGCAGACACTTCACATGGACGTGTGGGGCCCGGCCCGCGTCCGTGGGCAGGGTCACGAGCGCTAGTTCCTGCAAGTGGTTGACGACTACTCGCGTTACACCACAGTCTTCCCCTTGCGCAGCAAGGGTGATGTCACTGAGGTGCTGATCGACTGGATCCACGCAGCTCGTCTCCAGCTCAGGAGGAGCTTCGGCTCGGACTTTCCTGTTCTGCGTCTGCAATCTGACCGAGGTGGGGAGTTCTCCTCTGGCCTTCTGCGGGCCTACTGTCGTGCACGGGGGATCCGCTAGACCTTTACGCTTCCGGACTCTCCACAGCAAAATGGGATTGCTGAGCGCCGCATTGGCATGGTCATGGACGTCGCTCGTACGTCCATGATGCATGCGGCTGCCCCCCATTTTCTGTGGCCGTTTGCGGTTCGGTACGCGGCGCATCCGCTCAACCTTCACCCCAGGGTCTCCCGGCCGGAGACCTCCCCAGCTCTGCTGTGGACGGGGAAGGTCGGCGATGCGTCTGCGTTCCGTGTCTGGGGATCTCGGGCGTTTGTCCGCGACTTGTCTGCGGACAAGCTGTCCCCTCGTGCTGCTCCCTTTGTCTTCCTGGGCTTCCCCCCTGACGCCCCAGGGTGGCAGTTCTACCACCCCTCCTCTCGTCGTGTTCTGTCCTCCCAGGACGTCACGTTCGACGAGTCGGTCCCCTTCTACCGTCTCTTCCCCTACCGCACTCCTTCCCTCCCCCCACGGCCACACTTCCTTGTGCCAGGTCCCCCCCCCGGTAGACCCCCTTCCCCCTCAGGGTCCTGCCCCTTCTGGTGTGTCCCAGGTTGACGCAGTCGAGCCGGTCGAGGTTGCTGGTGACTCGGGTACTGCCGCGGGTGCTGAGCCTGGGGGTGCTGACTCTGGGGGTGCCGTGCGCGTGGGTGCTGCGCCTGGGGGTGCTGAGACTGGGGGTGCTGCGCCTGGGGGTGCTGAGCCTAGGGGTACTGCGACTGGGGGTGCTGAGCCTAGGGCTGCTGAGTCTGGGGGTACTACGTCGGGAGCTGCTGAGCCTGGGGGTGCTGCGTCTGGAGCTGCTGAGCCTGGGGGTGCTGAGCCTGGGGGTGCTGCGTCTGGAGCTGCTGAGCCTGGGGGTGCTGAGTCTGGGGGTGCTACGTCAGGAGCTGCTGAGCCTGGAGGTGCTGCGTCTGGGGCTGCTGGGCCTAGAGGTGCGGAGCCTGCGGCCGCTGGACCTCCCCTTGTGACGTCTAGCGGTGCTGGGCCTGGAGGTTCTCTGGGTGCTCCGTCTCGGTGGGAGCCACTCTCTCCACAGGAGCTGCGCGAGTGGTTTGCTCGCCGCTGGAGGCGTGCTGCTGGAGCTGGAGCTTCTTCGGCCGCTGAGGGTGCTGGTGCCGCCGGTCCCGGAGCTGCTGGGCCTGCGGGTCCTACTGGAGCTGGCGCTGCTGAGGGTGCTGGTGCTGAGATTGCTGCTGTCTGTCCTGTCGGTGGTCCTGCTGCTGGTGCTGCTGGAGGTCCTGCCGCTGGAGGTGCTGTTGGCGCTGGTGCTGCCGGAGGTGCTGAGGGTGCTGGTGCTGTCCCTGCTGTGTCTGGAGTCGCCGCGCGGCCTCGGCCGTACTTCGTTCCGCTCCTGCAGCAGGTTCTTGGTCTTTCTCCTCCTGTAGAGTGTCCACCGCCTGTCCAGTCACCGTCACAGTTAGAGCTCGCCTCCCCACTTCTTGCTCCCTCTCCTTACACTGGTCCTACTGCAGGTCTTGCTGAGCGTCGAGAGCCTGCGTCTCGTCCCGCGTCGCCTGTTCGTGCTGCTCGCGCTAGTGGTCGCGGTTCGCGTCAGCGTCCTCCTCCTGTCCCTGGCACGCACCGGATGTCTCTGCGTCCGTCCACTGCTCCTCTGCGTGCCCCTTTGCCTTCTCCTCCTGCGTCCTCTCTTCCTGCGCTTGCTGACCCGGAGTCGGACTCTCTTCGTACTGCCAGTCCTACTGTCACACAGCTCCTTGCTACTGTCGTCACTGACCCCTCGTTTGAGTCCGCTGCTGCGTCTGCGCTTGTTGCTGAGCTCGTTGACTTTGCTGCTCGCTGTCGTCTAGACTACGCTGCCAGTCTTGTTGCTGAGTCTGCGTCTGTCTGTCCTCCGTCCGTCGGGGGTGAGTGTGCTCTTGGCACGGACGTCCTTGAGGACAGGCAGGAGGAGTTCCAGTGTCTGGTTGCTGCTTCACCTCATCTCGTGTCTGTACTGCTTGCCCCTGAGGGAGACCCGGATGCACTAGACATCCCGACTCCGCGCTCTTACGCGGAGGCCGTAGAGGGTCCCTACTCCTCTCAGTGGCAGGCAGCTATGGATGCAGAGATGGCTTCCTGGAAGTCCACAGGCACCTACGTTGACGCGGTTCCCCCACCTGGGGCGAACATTGTCAGTGGCATGTGGATCTTCAGGGTGAAGCGGCCGCCGGGCTCTCCACCTGTCTTCAAGGCGCGGTACGTCGCTCGTGGCTGCAGTCAGCGGCAGGGAGTTGACTACTTTCAGACCTTCTCTCCCACCCCGAAGATGACCACTCTTCGGGTTCTGCTGCACATAGCCGCTCAGCGCGACTACGAGCTTCACTCTCTTGACTTCAGCACTGCTTTCTTGCAGGGTAGCCTGCACGAGGAGATCTGGCTGCGCCGTCCACCTGGCTTCACTGGGACTTTCCCTCCTGGCACCCAGTGGAGCCTCCGACGGCCAGTCTACGGTCTCCGCCAGGCACCACGTGAGTGGCACGACACACTGAGGACTACGCTTGCGGCTCTTGGGTTTGCTCCCTCTACTGCTGACCCTTCGCTGTTTCTGCGCACCGACACTTCTCTGCCGCCGTTCTACATCCTCGTGTACGTCGACGACTTGGTCTTTGCCACAGCGGACACTGCTGGACTCGCCTACGTGAAGTCCGAGCTGCTGAAGAGACACACGTGCACAGACTTGGGTGAACTGCGCAGCTATCTTGGCTTGCAGATCACTCGGGACAGAGCACGCCGCACCATTACCTTGACTCAGTCACACATGGTGCAGCAGGTCCTTCAGCGCTTCGGCTTCACGTACTCCTCGCCTCAGGCCACTCCTCTGTCTACTCGCCACTCGCTCTCAGCTCTGCCTTCGGATGAGTCCGTAGAGTCGAGTGGCCCGTACCCAGAGCTTGTTGGCTGCCTCATGTACCTGATGACCTGCACACGACCTGACCTTGCATACCCTCTTAGCATTCTTGCACGCTATGTTGCTCCTGGGAGACACCGACCAGAGCACATGGCTGTAGCGAAGAGGGTGTTGCGCTACCTGTGCAGTACGTCGGGCATGGGGCTAGTGCTTGGAGGGCGCAGTCCAGTGGTCCTCACTGGGCACGCGGACGCTTCTTGGGCAGACGACCAGGCTACGCAGCGTTCGTCACAGGGTTACACCTTCAGTCTTGGTTCCGGCTCTGTCTCATGGCGGGCTACTCGCTCGTCTTCTGTCCTCAGCTCCAGTTGTGAGGCTGAGATCTATGCCGGGGCCATGGCTGCACAGGAGCTTCGCTGGCTCACCTACCTGCTGACTGACCTTGGAGAGCCGCCTCGTTCTCCTCCAGTGCTGTACGTAGACAACAAGGCCATGCTGGCCTTGTGTCGAGAGCAGCGCCTGGAGCACAGAACGAAGCACATTGCTCTCCGCTACTTCCTTGCTCGTGAGCTACAGCAGCGTGGACAGTTGCGGCTTGCGTACGTGGCCTCTGAGGCCAACACTGCTGATGTGTTCACCAAGGCACTCGCGCCTTGTGACCATCAGCGCTTCTGCACTCAGCTGGGTCTTGTACCTGTTTTGCCTCACTTGCTCTCCTCTTGACCTTGCTTGTACTGTCACATATATATACCTGCTCTTGCTTGTCTCGCTCTATATATATATATGTGTGTACTCCAGCATGTGAACTGGCCTTGTGGCCTTGACGTTGTGCTCGGACTGTGTGGTGACGTTGTGATCCACCCTGAGCTTGCTCTGTTTTGCTTGCCTGGTCTTGTGACCCCTTGTTCTCCCCCACTTTGCCTATGGGGGTGTGTCAGAACGTTATATAGCTTATGCTGTTGTGTAGGCTATAGTGGGGTATCCCATAGGGGGTACAACCCAATTAGGGTTTCCTATATGTACTCACTTCATTCATAGTTCATTCATTCTCGTTCTATTCTTCTCACGTCACACTGGAGGTGGCTCCGTAGGTGGAGCAGCCAGCCGTAACACGAACTCAGATGCCATAACAGGAGTGAAAAGACGCACTATTATGGAAGATGAGAGGGACAACCACGTAGGAGGAGAAGATAGTCCAAGACAAGCAAGCAAAGCGGTTCGGCGGCGACAACAAGTGCGAGTGCGGGTGCGTGGTAGGTGCGGCAGGCGCGGTAATGCACGACAGGCAGCCTGCCAGGGCACGCGGTAAGCGTGCGGCAGGGCGCGCCAGAGCGCGCAGCAGGGCACGCAGCAAGGCGTACAACGGCCGTGGCAGGGTGTTCGACAGGCGCACGACAACGGCATGCGTCCGGCAAGGGCCGACGGGGCCGACTGGGCGCTAGGGTGTCGACGAGAGGTTAGGGGGGCCTGCGGGGTGCTAGGGGGGGGTGTGACGGGGCGCAATGGGGACCGCAGGCGCTAGGGTGGGGTAGGGCGTGATGGGGCCGCTAAGTAAGTAGGCAGGGCCGTGAAGGCACGATGTAGAGCTAGGTAGGCGGGGTGGAAGCGTACCGGTATGGCCTAACCTTAGCACATGATATCATGTGAAGAACTAAGAATGACTGAATAGAACGAGGCATACCCTACAAGAGGGTACCGGTACAAGTAGCAACCCATACCCTTAACAGTACCCAATCTAGCCTAACATTGTACACCTACAAGTATAGTATAGGTGTACATTGACATAACCATCTCTCCATGTCATATGGTACTCCACTTGTGCCCAACAAGAGTGGAAGCGCAGTGCATACCGTATTCTCCCGGACATAACACCTTAGGGTATAGCTAAAAATACTGGGAAAAAATGGGGGGGGGGGGGGGGGGGGGTCTCCTCATAAGAAAAAAAATCATAATACCCGGGTCTTTACGTAAGGCATATTTTAGTCAATGTGGGTGTTTTGCTGGTCATTTTAACATCACTGCCTGAGGCGCGAATGTGAGTTTCGGCCTCGAACTTTATCACCCCCACGAAAATGCCGTGTGGCACCTCTTGCCACTTACAGCGGAAGATTCACGTGCACGTGGCGACAGCGAAATAGTGGGAGGGGGCAAATCTCGTCAGATTGCATTTGAATGTACCGCGAAATTTCATCGAGGGAGAAATTCACGCGATATTCTTCCGTATTGCAGCTACTCGTTAACGACTATAATAATGAATCTGTAAGAAAAGGGGGGTGTTATAGAAAATCAGCCAAAAATGTTAGAATCTAGTGGCAGGAATGAATTGACCAGATGAGGGTTTGGTACAAATATGAAACCCTAATGGGGTTGTACCACATATTGGCTACCCCACTACAGCCTACACATATATGACATGCATATAATTTAACACACCCCCATAGGCAAAGTGGGGGAGAGCAAGGGGTCACAAGACCAGTCAAGAGAAGCAAAGCAAGCTCAGGGTGGATCACAACGTCACCATACACAGTGAGCACAAGTAAAGGGCCACAAGGCCAGTTCACATGCAGAGGTATATATGTAACAACAACAGCACAGTGATCTCTACCTACCAGGATCAAGCATGCAGGTATATATATATATATACATATATATATAGATCACAGTACAGGCAAAGCCTACAGCAAGTGAGGAAGCGTAGGCACAAGGCCCAACAAAGTACAAAAGCGCTGATGATTACCTGGCGGAAGTGCCTTGGTGAATATATCAGCAGTGTTGGCCTGAGTGGCCACGTGAGCAAGACGAAGCTGACCACGCTGCTGCAACTCTCGAGCAAGGAAGTAACGCAGAGCGATGTGCTTCGTTCTGTGCTCTAGTCTGTGCTCCTGACACAAGGCAATGGCGGCCTTGTTGTCTACGTACAGCACTGGAGGAGAACGAGGCCGCTCTCCCAAGTCGGTCAGCAGGTAAGTAAGCCAGCGTAACTCCTGTGCAGCCATGGCTGTGGCGTAGATTTCAGCCTCGCAACTGGAGCTGAGAACAGAGGAAGAGCGTGTAGATCGCCAAGAAACAGAGCCAGAGCCAAGGCTGAAGGTGTAACCCTGCGACGACCGCTGCGTAGCCAAGTCGTCAACCCAAGAAGCGTCTGAGTGACCAGTGAGGACAACGTCGCCCCGTCCTCCGAGCACGAGCCCCATTCCCGATGTACTGCACAAGTAGAGTAGTACCCTCTTAGCAGCATCCATGTGCACCTTTCGGTGCCAACCAGGAGCCACGTAGTGAGCCAGAAGGCCAAGAGGGTACGCAAGGTCAGGACGAGTGCAGGTCATTAGGTACATGAGGCAGCCCACTAGCTCTGGGTAAGGACCAGTCGGCTCTACGGACTCGTCCGAAGGTGGAGCTGAGAGCGAGTGACCAGTAGCAAGAGGAGTGGCCTGTGCCGAGGACCAGGTGAAGCCGAAGCGCTGAAGGACCTGCTGCACCATGTGTGACTCGTCAGTGTGATGGTGCGGCGTGCTCTGACCCGGGTGATCTGCAAGCCAAGGAAACTGCGCAGCTCACCCAGGTCTATGCACGTATGTCTCTTCTGCAGCTCCGACTTCACCAGGGTGAGAGCCTCAGTGTCAGCAGTGGCAAATACCAAGTCGTGGACGTACACGAGGATGTAGAACGGCGGCAGCGAAGTGTCGTTGCGCAGAAACAGCGACGGGTCAGCAGTTGACGGAGCAAACCCAAGAGCCGCAAGTGTCGTCCTCAGTGGGTCGTGCCACTCACGCGGTGCCTGGCGGAGACCGTAGACTGGCCGCCGGAGGCTCCACTGGGTACCAGGAGGGAACGACCCAGTGAAGCCAGGTGGGCGGCGGAGCCAGATCTCCTCATGCAGGCTCCCCTGTAAGAAGGCTGTGCTGAATTCAAGAGAGTGAAGCTCGTAGTCACGCTGAGAAGTAACGTGCAGCAGCACCCGAAGAGTGGTCATCTTCGGGGTGGGAGAGAAGGTCTGGAAGAAGTCGACTCCCTCTCGCTGACTGAATCCTCGAGCAACGTAACGAGCCTTGAAGACAAGTGGAGAACCTGGCGGCCGCTTCACCTTGAAAATCCACATGCCATCGACGATGTTCGCCCCAGGAGGGGGGACTTCATCGACGTAAGTGCCAGTGGACTTCCAGGATGTCATCTCTGCGTCCATGGCTGTCTGCCATTGAGAGGAGTAGGGACCCACGATCGTCTCACCGTAAGAACGCGGAGTCGGGATGTCTGGTGCATCCGGGTCTCCCTCAGGGGCAAGCAGCATGGACACGAGATGAGGCGCAGCGGCTGCAAGACACTCAAGGTCCTCCTGCCTGTCCTCAAAGACGTCCGTGCCAAGAGCAAACTCACCCCCGACGGACGGAGGACAGACAGACTCAGACTCAGCAACAAGACTAGCGGCGTAGTCTAGACGACAGGCAGCAGCAAAGTCAACAAGCTTAGCGACAAAGGCAGACGCAGCAGCAGACTCAAACGACGGGTCAGTGACAACAGTGGCGAGCAGACGCGTGACAGTAGGGTGAGCAGCACGAGCGCGGTCAGACTCAGGCTCTGGACCGTCAGATAGAGAAGACGTAGGAGGGGACGGCAAGGGAACACGCTGCGGAGCAGAGGAAGGACGCAGGGCCATGAGGTGTGTGCCGGGGACAGTCGGCGCACGCTCACGAGGAACACGACGACCAATACGACCAGTGTGGACAGTGCGAACAGGCGAGACTGGAGGAGACGCAGGCTCACGACGCTCAGCAAGACCGCCTGTTAGCTCAGTGTAAGGTGAAGGAGCATGCAGCGGTGAGCCAGGCTGTAACGGAAGACCATTAGAAGACGAGAGGCTAAGAACCTGGCAAAGCACGGAGCCAGGCGGTGGCAGAGACGAAGGTGACGGCGGGGCAAAGAACAGGGGCGGCGGTGCAGTGCCACCAGCACCTGTAGCTCCAGCACCTCCTGCAGCTCTAAAACCCCCAGCGCCAGCACCCGCAGCAGCTCCAGAACCTCCAGCTCCAGAGCTACCAGCGCTAGCACCTCCAATAGCTCCAGAACCTTCAGCGCCAGCACCCGCAGCAGCTCTAGAACCTCCAGCTCCAGCGCCACCAGCGCCAGCACTTCCAACAGCTCTAGAATCTCCAGCGCCAGCACCCGCAGCAGCTCCACACCCTCCAGCTCCAGTGCCACCAGCGCCAGCACCTCCAACAGCTCCAGAACCTCCAGCGCCAGCACCCGCAGCAGCTCCAGAACCTCCAGCTCCACCGCCACCAGTAGTAGCACCCCCATAACCGGCACCTCCAGCTCCAGGGCCCCCAACGTCAGAGTCGACAGCAGCACCTCCAGGTCCAGCAGGACCTCCAGTCCCACCAGCTCCAGTACCTCCAGTACGAGCACCTCCAAGACCAGCTGCTCCGGGAACACCAGTAGAAACAACTCCAGTAGTAGAGTCACCAGCTCCAGCGCCTCCCGCAGCAGGGCTCCTAGCGCCAGCAGCGCGACCTTGACGGCTAACGTACCACTCACGCAGCTGCTGTGGGGAGAGAGGGACAGCGCCGGCGCCAGTGCCTCCAAGACCAGCACCTCCCGCAGCAGGGCCCCCAGCTCCAGCAGCTCGAGCCTGACGGGTAACGTACCACTCACGCAGATGCTGTGGGGAGAGAGGGAGACGACAACGAGAGGCCAGCGGCGAGGCACCAGCGGAGCGACTACGGAGG